GTCGATTTTGGCGATATTATGTATCCTTATAGTACGTTTAAAAATATTAATGACGTGTTTTTTCTTATTTGCCTCTGACCATCCCCTGCAAAGTTACGGGGTATGATAGATAACCCCTTTCCTTAAGAATAATGTGATAAACTGTTACACTTTTGAACAATATTTTGAAGAAAACCATTAATTAGATGTAAATTAAGATTTACGCAGTAAAATAAACCCTATACGACATTAAGGGGTGGCTGGGGTTAACTACCCTAACCACCCCCAAAAATAAATCTTTTTTGCGAAAATTGTTTGTCGATTTTGGTGCAATTTCCCACGATGATTTGTTTATACGTTAGGTAGTACTATTGTAAGAACTTACAAGGGTTAGAAGTTTGGGGTAGAAAATATATTTTCGCTAATAACTTAATAACTTTCATACTCCTACAGAAAAAGAGAAAAAAAAAATACGTAAACCTTATTTTTGGCCATACTATCGCTGTACCAAATTTCAACAGAATCGGTGAGGGACAAATAAAACTCAGGGTGTTCCATTTGAAATATAAAAATTGTCACCTCTTCCGGTGTAACCACAAGTACCTGGAACCTGAAAATACTTTAGTTAAAAAGCTGGCATCAAGTATCACAAGTCTGCAAATTTTCAAATCTACACTTCATTTGGTTATTCACTAGATCGCACTGGGTATTCGTGACACACTAGGTTAAATATCGATATGTGTGTGCATTTTTCAAAAAACCCTAATTATTTCCCAAACTATAAATGTTAGGTAGAGGACATATGGGATATAAAAGATGTAAAATGAGACACCGAAGACGACTAAGTAATAAAATATCGGGGGTGCCATTTAAAGAAATGAAGTTATGGTACTTCCAAGTTTCGAAAAGGTAACGTGCTATAGTAAAGTGACCAAACGTTCTAGACAGCCATAAGCAATTTTAATATTTTTATCAAAGGATAAAAATATTAAAATATTTTGTCAGGGAGAAGTAGAAAATATTATGAACGGGTTTTTACCAAAAACAATTAGCAAATTCCAAAAATATTTTTTCCCTATATTACGCAGTAGTCATTGGATGCTAATGGTAGCAAATGTTGAAGATCAGCCAGTTTTATTTTTATCCAATGACTATTGAAACTAGAAAAGCACAAACTTATTATTTATTATAAACAATTGATTGTTGGATTGGCGATTGTTTGAAGCAAAAAGGATTTTCCCGGAATATAAGAAATGGTTAGGAAAATTTTCTTTTTGATTCTGAAACAAGAAGCGACCGGGAATATAATGCCGTTGAAATGAGATCGATTAGAAACCCCGAACAGGTCGACATTTGCTTATGTTTGAAGATGAATCGATTTTTCCGGAATACAGGATGATTCAAAAAACCGCTGACAGACTTCTAGGGCAGGTAATACATCAAAAATTAAGATGAAAAGTCTTAATATACATGTGGTCGCAAATGCCTCCTTAACGAGATATAGTGGGTCAAAGTTTCTTTAAAATTAAACATTATCTGCAATAAAAAGCACTTTTTAAAAATATTTTCAACTTCACTACTAATTTTGTCAAACGGGCAATTTTTTCGTGTAAAGTGATCAATTATCTATAAATTGGTCTCTTACAAAACTTTGATTAAAGCAACAGTTTTTGATTGAATTAACAAATTTTCTACAAACGTGTTTTTCTTAAAAACTATTGCTTTGATCAAAGTTTTGTAAGAGACCAATTGATAGATAATTGATCACTTTACACGCGTAGAGAGCAATGGTGTAGACAATATTTTTAAAAAAGTGCTTTTTATTGCAGATAATGTTTAATTTTAAAGAAACTTTGATCCGCTATATCT